TCTTTAAAACATGGTCCACACGTTATCTTTGTTTCAGAAGCTGCAGATGTGACCATGTGGTTTTTCATCTACAAAGGACAGAGAAGGGTAAAAGAAGAGCTGCGTGTGTTTGGAACGAAACTAGAGAGGATTAAAGTGGTCAACTGTCACGTCACTTAAATATGTGGGTGTAAATGTCTCTAAATTAAGGAACACAACACCAAATCCTCTTACTAAAAAATAAATGTCAAAATAAAAAGTTTGCTAGCTCGATATAACACCTTGTCTCGCTTGCTGTTTTAAAGTTTTTATATTTTGAGCAGGACAAAAATGTCCACTTCGAAAAAACTGCTATAAAAATAGAACAGATTGATATTTGTTTCTATTTTTTTTTCATAAATCTCTTAAACAACTCCAGCCCTGCTCAAAACTACCAAATATTGAATAATTATCAGGAATTTAACCCTTTAAATGACAGTTGGATTCTGGCATTTAAAGGGTTACATTCCTTTTAGTCCAAACAGGGAACTACATTTTAAATCTGATGCTACACAAAAACTAACAATGCATCAGAGTCAATATTTTGGATAATCTTTGACATATCCAAGACTGATTTAAAAAAATACATTTGAATACAATGCAAATATTATTTTTTTTAGTTGCGGACATTATTGAGCTGTGCTATGAGCAGCCCGAGCTCATTGAGCTCTTCTATGGCATATTCCTCACCACATACGCCGCCAACAGGCCAGTGCGCATATTGAGCTTACCTCTGATACGTCACCGTGACGTCTGACATCTGCAGTCGCTGTAACAATGCGTATTCTCCATCAACACATTGGGTTTTTACCCCAGACGCAGGCGAACATATACAAGTCAGTTATCCAGTTCTTTGTCAGCTCTCACACCCCACAACGCAGCTGTGTGCATACATGTGGGACTTTTATGAAATCACAAGACGTATTGGCCCTGCTGAACACTTAAAACATCCTGTTGTTTCAGATAACCACGCCTGAAGTGAATTAATAAAAAGCATGTCTGTCTGTGAACATTTTTCCGTTATAGTATTTAAACAGGACATTGTGCTTGCATTATTTTACTAACAATGCGCATGCGTATGAGGTGTGATTCATGCCACCCTCAGCCTCACTAAGGACAGGACTGTGTCGATCGATCGCCATCTACCATACATGAACTGAGAACGTTAGAAAACAAACATGAAACTTATGTCCATACACCTCTCGCCATAGAACTGGCATGAGAAGCCAGACCGATCCAGGGACAAAACTGAAGTCTATATGACAATTTTATAAAGCGTTCATCATCCAATGCATGTATTTCAATAAAACTGCGAGTCATAGTGTTAGTGTGTGTGTTTGTGTGTGAGTGTAGGTGTGTGTTTGTGTCACTTTGTAAATTTGGGAGACTTCCATTTCTTTTCTTTTTTCCTCCTTAAGTTGCTTTTCTGAATTTTTTTTCCAGGTTGATGCGATAAAGGAAAAGGTGATAGTTGAATTCATTTTCACATACTCCTTTTGACCCCTCTCTTCCATCCTGTAACCTGTAGTTTAGAGCAGTAGAATGAGTAGAAACTTCATGAATCCATTCCTCCAAGTTACTCTGCTATTTTGATTGTAAACTTCTAGTACCGAGTGTCACCTGCCAACCCAGGGCTCTTGCTATCTATTCCTCAGGGTTCTGCTACAGTAGGTGTGTTTGTCTTGACTGATCAGTCAGTGTGGTGGCACATAGGGGACATATATGATAGACAGGTGGCTTTCATTGTGTGGCAGTGTTTATATATTTATTTGCTACTGTAAGGTGTGGTATATTGGCTGCCTTCTTCTGGTAACCTTTAAACACCATTTCTTCTATCACAATCTTTGCCCTCTACGCTCTAACTTTTTTCGATGCACACTTAAAAGAAAAGAAAAAAACAAAAACTGACGCTTCAGCATGTGTCTCAAACCCCCTCCCCATATTCTTGAAACAGCCCGCTTAACTGTTGTATTAAATCAGAGTACTTAGAGAACTCAACTCATTGTCACAGGAAAGGCAAGATGTCCAGTGCTATCATTTAGCTTTTTAAGCTCTCTATTAGCTGACTAATTCTTTGAACTCTTTCATTCTTTATTTATTCTTTCATCAGTGAAGCACTGATGAAACCATGGCATTTCAGTTCATTCATCTTCAGTGCTGTTTTATTTATTTTTTTTAGCTGTTTGCACCAATGAAATAAATTGATTGGACTACTGTATATGCTGGTGGCTTTGCTCTGAAAATGTAAAACTGTTCCATCTTAGCAATTGAAAATGTTATTGTTTCCACCTATAGTGTGTGTATGTGCATACATACATACATACATACTGTACATACACACACCAATCAGCCATAACATTATGAACACTCAACATTTATTATATGTGGGTGGGTGTTTTTGGGACCATTATATCCAAGTAGATATTTGTCTTTGTTTCCCCTCTCTATCTCTACAACTTTCAGGAATTAATGTCTAACAGCTACTGTTTTACAAACGCTTGATAGTGTAGCCTGTAGGTTTCCAGTTGCTAATTTCCCTGTGTAGAGGCTTCCAACGCTGCCTCAAGCAGCCTGCTCTTAATTAAATCTGGACTGTTTTCATCTTTGCCTGTCAGGAATGGTCCCATCCGTCAGCCAGTGAAATAACACAGAGGTCAGTTTTTAGCAACCTGGCGTCTCAGCCCATGCTCTTCAAGAGCCCTACCTTCCAAAGCATACCTGGAGTCTAACAACACCACTTGGCTTTTCCACAGGTTGACAAACTGGAAGCCTCTGAGTCCTTGAGGAAACAGGAGGAGCAGGCTACCGAGTCTCAACCCATTGTTTATGGTAAAAAAGACCACTGCATTTCTGTAATACAGTGTTAAGCATTTTGTAAGGTCACATATTACAAAATACACTTCACCATGGTTTTCTAAAACTCATATTGGCCTATCTTCAAACCCTCCAATTCATGAGAAGTCCATCTTGGTTCTCCCCTCTGAGTCTGCCTTCTTAACAATAAAGAATAGGGCATGGTGCAAGAAAGCCCAATCCCCCATGCCCTTCTAGAAGAGCGTAGTCAGACGCAGCTCATGCTCTGCTTCAGTGGTGGTGTTTGAATGGATTAGTTACTTCTGATGGATGATACTACATAGTGATCACTACCATCAGTGTGTGAATGGGTGGGTGTGGCATGTGGTGTAAAAGCACTTTGAGTAGTCGGAAGACTAGAAAAGCGCTTTATAAGCTCAAGTCCATTTACCATTTACCATATATGCAAAATGGATTTTTGTCAAAAAAAACTTCACAGACATATTTTGGGGAGCTCTGAGACTTATTTTGTACTTGTTGAAAAGGAGTAAAATATGTGACAGAGAAGTAGCGCAGCCATGCTTGTTGAAATACTTACTCTGATACTTCTGTTGCAGGCACACCCCAGCTAATGCTCACAGCAGGGCCCAACGTGGCGGTGCCTCCTCAGCAGGCTTATGGTTATGGCTACACAGCACCAGGATATGGTCAGCCACAGCAGCCCAGCTTTGGTTATGGCATGTAAACATCACTAACCACGCCCCCTGAACAAATCTTATACCCACACCTTCTTTCCATTTGTCTCTTTGTGTTCCTCAAAAGTTTCCCATGGTGTTTTACTCAGAATGAGCAAACAGCAGGCCACTGTGGTTTGAAGTATTTTTATGATGTCCTGTTACAAGAGAAAATTTAACTGCATTGAAGGACTGCATTGTTTAAGAAAAAAATCACATTCCATATTAATGACTTTTTATTTGGATTGTTTTGTGTTTGTTTGTCTTTTTTATTGGTTTATGTTTTGTGCAGAAGTGGGCATGCTCAAGCTCAGCAATGAACATTTGAAGTAGGTGGAGGAGCACTGGAATTTGCACTTGTGAAAACGTTATTGTAGAGAAGCTCTTAATTTTGATGTACTGAACATGTGAACAACTTAAAATGTCTTGTTTGTATGTATAATATACTATATTCTGAGTAAAAGATGGGGTTACGTATAAAATTTCAACTTATATCGCCATTTAAATGGCTTTAGCTAGCAACACTAAGTAATGATATTATATTCTGCACAGGCATCTAGCTTTATGGAGTTTAAAACTTACTAACAGATGAGGGGGATGTATGAGGGTGTGTTTGTCTTTTATGTGTGGATGTGACTCGATGGTCTTAATACAAATTGTACCCCCTTTCTGCCTGTGCTGGGCTACCCTGATCCACCCTTTAGATGTAAGCTCTTCAATAGCCTCATCAGGTCCATGTGCCGTGCTTTGTGTGAGACTGTATCTGTAAGTGCAAAGACAGGCTACCACACCCAAGGGCCCTGAAATCTTGAACTGTACTGTTTGTGTGTATGTATTTACTCCCTCCTCTTACTGAGGCCTGTGTATGCCAGGTGTTGTGCTGTTTCTCTTTCCCTAACTTTTTAGCGTGTACAGATGTGAACATGATGAATTGCAAACTTTTAGATGGAGACCCCCACTATTCCACCTTCCACTCAGTTTCCTGTTCTATCTCCTCCCTCGATGAGCATTAGCAGTTATTACAAACAATGTGGCAAAAGAAGACAACCTTAGGACACCTTTGGTGTCCTAATGCCAGCGTAATGAGATGGATTTACACTTGTATATGTTGTGTGTTTAGATGGTTAAGATTAATAAATGATGTCTCAGTACATCTAGTTCTTTGTCAAGAATGGTCCAAGATAAGAGATTGTATTTACCTTGATGTAATTTACATGATTTAAGCTGTGTGTTTAAAGTGTCATCCTAAAATTAAACCTAAGTTGAGTTCCTTTTTGTTGTCTTGCATACTACAAATAAATGTTTCCTTTCAATAAAAGTGGAAGGAAAATAAAATAATAGACTCAATAAAAAATGTAAACATTATCAAGTCAGTGTCCTTTGCAGTCAGTCTTTGTGATAGGGTGCAGTATCTCAATGTATTCAGAGGTGCATTTCAATGAACATGATTGTAGATTAAAGCCATGGAAGTTTAGATCTTTATTAGTTGTTCACATACGTGTTGTCAAGTAGTACTTAATATGTTCTTCCTCCTGTAATGATACCGAATAAGATGTTATGGCTTCATGTCATTTACAGATATGAGTGAGTCAGAGTAAAAATGCCTTGACCTTCCTTTCCACTTCACTGCAGTATTTCTCAGAGAGCCCCGTAGCCCTGCATGTTCACAACAAATAGAAAGTTAACACAAACTCAGAGTTTGCAATGTCAAAATGTCAGCCAAAGCAACCTCATACATACTTGAGCTCCTTCAGCTTCTTCATTTTGATCTCATTAAGGCGCGCACGTCTCTGGCGGGCTTCTTCAACCAAACACTCAGCCTCCTTGAAGATCTCTCTGCGTTTAAGTATGGTTGAGAGCTGTTGTTCCTTCACCTGATGTCTGATGGCCTCTGCGTGATGCTTTGCATTCTGACGCTGCTTTTCCTCCACCTCTTTCTGTTTGTTTATGGCTTCTTGTTGTACCCTTTGTGGAGAAGGAAGCCAAAACTGATATAACTTAAAGGGTATTGCTTTGTGTGTATTAAATGAAATTTTTTTTTAACTGTATATTATTTCTATATGTCTAAACATTGTCACTTCCACAAGTTTTCTTACTCTAGCAGCCGTTCAATCTCGGCTTTCTCTCGGCCAGCTTCAATCGACAGCAAGTGTTCTTTGCACCGAACCTGTTCCAAGCGGGCCATCCTCAACATTCCTTCTTCTTGTGTTTTCTTTGCAGCCAGATCTTTCTCTTTTCTCCTCCATTCTCTGTCTGTAACTTCTTGATTCCTCATGGTGCGGATCTCGTCCTGTCAAATGCAAACATACACCCTCATACATACAAGTTGATCATTTAAATGCTTTAATGTTCATGTATATGTCTGTAAAATAAATCAATCACATATATTCCAGAGTTAAATTCAGCAGGTACCACTATGGCAGTGGTTAGCTGGTGTTTTTATTCTTCACCTGCTCTGCCTTGTAGTCTTTTGCTCTTTGTTGCTTGGCCCTCATTCTGGCAATCTCCAACTCCTTCTGTTTCTTAATGCATCTCTGCTCTGCTTCAAATTCTGCCTCCCGCTCCTGCATAGGTCAAGAAATGTCAAGGTCAAAGACACCCTGGGAAGAATAATTAATAACATAATGATAGAGTAATCCAGTCGATTTTTAACACCTATCAATGGAACTTTATTGGTAAAAACTGCTGTTTGTGTAATTGTATTTTCTGCTGATCCTAAGGATAGGTGGTTGTCTGTGGAGATTATATATTTTTATCTAACCAGTTTGTTTTTGATATATTCCATATCTCTCATATCAGCCAGCTTCTCCTCCTCTCTCCTCTGCTCCTTAGCCCACATGGTCTCAGCATTGATGTGCCTGACCTCCCCCAGCAGGCGCTGTTGCTCCTCCCTCTTCTTCTCAAGGGCCTGGCAAAAAGACAACCAATCGGAGAAAAGAGACTCATTTCCAAGTGCTCAGATCAACTTCTTACTTTCTTATTTCTAATGTTTGTTCTTGCATGAGCTGCACCTTTAGGTCTTCCAGATTCATTTTCTCCTGGTTTTCTCGCATCTGTTGTTTTTCCTGCTCTTTCATTTCCTTGAGTAATTGCTCATCCTCAAGACGTTGTAGGATTTGGTTGTAAATTTGCTGCATCCCACTGGAATGCAAAACACACATGATGACTAAATAAGAAACTATCCACCAGTAAACTGATGAGAAGAAGTGGCATCTGTTTGAATAAAAATCATTCATGTCCAAATAAATCCGTTAAGATATTGATTATTTTTCCGGTAAAACTTTACTTCATTCTCTGGTCTTTGACCAGCTCATCAATTTGCTCCATGGTCGCCAAGGCCTTGCGGCGATCCACCTCCATCATGTCGTCTAGACGCTTCTCCTCCTCTGATAACTCCGCCTGGATCTGTTTTTTTTCTTTGATCTGGGCATCACGTGTGGCTTGACACTGAGCACTTAAAATCAGCTGAGGGGACCACACACATGTTAATCTTTGTAGTACAGAATGACGTGGCCCATTGTTAAGGAAAAGTTTATACTTTGGAGGTCCACATGTACAACGCTGCTTCTTACCATGTTAAGCTTTTTGATCTCTTCCTCCTGCTCGAGCCTGAGGCCATTGGAGTACTCTATCAGGCGCTGTGCATGGTTCTGGGACTCCAGTTCCAGCTCAGTCAGTCCCTTTCTTTTTCTGCGGGCCAGGTCAGCCTCAAGGATTTTGTGCTTTCTGTCCTCTGCTTCTTCCTGGGTGAGGGATGTAATTAAAAGAAAAAGTTAAGTGTCTTATTGCCTGAAAATACTTGAAATAATCTTTTTTTTTATTGGCAGGTAATTCGATTTTCTCCTACATTTACCTCTTCTTTCTTCAAATGACAAGCCTCTGTCGGGCCCACTCTTTCCTCCTTCATAGGAACCCGGGACATTGAGGCCAACCGCTCATACTCAGCTGATGGTAGGATAATGAACTCTCCTAAAGAATCCTTTAATGGGATCCTTGTAAGATGACAGTTGTTTCAGAACACAGGCACTGTAAAAGTGCTAATGCCTATACGTTTTTGCATAGGTACAGGGGAATACATGTAGAACTAACTACTAGCTAACCATTAGTTAGCAGGTACTTGTAAAGTTGCTGAATAATATTCCACACAGCAGAGTATGATTTTAAGGTTCTTTAGTTATCTTTCAGGTAGCATCACATTATCCTGTAACGGATCTCATTGCATCGTTATTCTTCTTCGTTTTCCAACACATATTTCAACATGAACCCAGAGGGCCCCCTTGTGGGCCAAACAGAACATTACCAAACTACAACATCACATGCATAAAACATAAACATGACAATACTTGTGGTACACAAAAATGTGCATAGCTACAAGGGAACAAGGAGGTAACTAACTACTAATAAGTTTATGGTCTATGGGATTACTAGCAAAACATTGATTACATGCTTCAAATATGTTTTTACTTAAAAAAAAGGAACATGAATTTACCAATAATTAAAATAAACGCCATATTCGTTTTCCATTTTGTCTTTTACACTTAGGTCTTGGTGAAGACGTCTGATGCATCCTCATTTGTTCCCACATAACTATGCAAAATGTTTTGTAAATTGTTACACTACTTTTCACATATTCGTTGAAAGACTATATTGTTTGATAATGTGCTCAATGAAGTTATTTCAACTTAAATTCAGCTAGGCTACTTCAATATCCATCTAGGCCTATTAAAAAAATCCGTATTGCGCTTTTCATGTCTATGGAGCACTGTAGCCTTCTTCTGGGTTTAGAAGGATTCTCTTACCTGAGATTGCGAATGAGGTCTTTGGTTATTATTTGAACAACCTCTCCATCTTGGCAGTGCCGGGACTTATTCTTGGACTTGCAGGCTGAGTTGCTACCTATGTCCAACTGTGATGATAACTGTTAGGCTATTTCTAGCAACATCTAGAAACACGACACAATGTTGTTGTTGTTTTTTTTTTTTTTTAATCTATTTACAAAACAGGCGTAGGACTACTATAGGATCATAGTCACACACTTGTAGTAATACTTCAAATTGATGACATTATAAATAGAAAATCGCAATTTCATTGCTATAAGGCTACCGTAGGCTACTAACCTTTGTCGAGCTCCCGAACAGGGTTTCATCTACCTCAGAGGTGGACGCTTGAGTCCGGTACCGGCGGGTATAAGAGTTACTCATTGATCCCAGTCTCTACATAGCCTAGATGACCAAAACAGAGAGCAAAACATGAGCAAAACAGTGTGATGTCAATGAACAAAATAGCCTAACCTTTTATTTTTAATTGTGTTCCGCATCCAATTTATGTAGCCTAAATATTCTCAACGTAGGCTATTGCATAATTCTTTATTTAAACTTACCATGGTCATCGGTTAGGCTATTTGTGTCGAAGACATGCAAAAAGGATTTGAGCGAATGAAAAAGTTTCTCACACTGACGAATCTGTTTTGTTGGAATCAAAATGTAGAGTCTCATAGTAGACGAAACTACCAGCAAAATGATTTACTAGAAATGTAGATATCGTCTAAAAACTCGTGATCCATGACACATTTGGAAATGTTTGTTGACTGTTACCATGGGAATGCGATAGTTTAAAGGAGGAGGAGTTATCCAACGCATTCTTTCCTTTGTGTCTTTGAGTTACCTAGCAACGACAGAGCAGTCAAACGTCACTTCGGAAAGGGAGGAAATGTCCGTTCCCAGATCACAAAAGATGGGGGGATTTTTACAGAGCCCGGGAGGTGACATGAATTAAATGTTTTTATAAAGATTTATAGACCTCCACTGTGAAGAGTGCACTATATAGTGGAGATAGACACCTGATTCAAAAATCAGGCTTTTTGAATGTAGTTTTTCAGATTAAATAAATATTTCTATAGAAATGCACTCCTTTATGTCTACTTATGAGTATACATTTTAGATTTAAAATGACAAGACTAAAATGTGCATTAATGCTCAACTCAATAGCTAAGGGACGGAAGTCTACTTTTACACAGCTTTTTATTCTTTTGACATTTTTTTTTTTACCAAATACTAATGTAGTTAATTTCTAAAAATGGGATGGAACAGAGTCGTTGAAAAAATTTGCCCTTAAACACAGCCCCATTCTTAAATCAAGATACACCGAGAGTAAATAAGATCAATAACTTGTGAATGAAAACAGTTACAAATGATTTAGAAATGTAGTCTTCCCAGATCAATATCACATAATATCAACTTCTCCCATCTAAATTGGACAAAGGGTTTTAAAATGGGAAGAAAATAGTTTGATTGCAAGTTGTTTGGAGGAGATCTATTTTTATTTGAAATAGCTGAAGCATGAATACAGTCTTCCAAGGTGCAAACCCTCCTCCTCCTTCTGAAGCCTGTGGAGCTCGTTGATGTACTGCTGTCTTATCTGCTGGCCATCTTCTCTCACCAGAACTTTGACTGTTGAAAAGTCATTCTGAAGAAGCTTGAGCATGTGACATGGATCCAGGAGAACATGGACTTTTAGTGAGGGGTCTTCAGGATGGCAAAGAAAGAGAGAAAATAGCAGTTATTCATTAAATCATTTGTTTGTGCATTTTCTGTATTCATCTGTGTGTAAGAGCACATTTATAAATTCAACAGTGTACTACCCAGACAACAAAGGTACAGTATTCAGGTAATTAACATCTATTAAAAGTTAAGAAGATAAACCTTACTGTAATCATGCTATTTTCAGCTCTCTCACTCACTTGCACAATGATATTCCACATCAAATTGTCTCAGATTTTGTGTGAGGAAAAATTGAGCAGTTTATTGTGGCTAGTACTTCATCTTAACATGAACAATTTCTTGGATGGTCTGTTAACCGCACAGCAAGCCATGTATGTTGTCAGATACAGTATGTGTTAAACAAACTCTCCAAACGAAGTAAAAAAAGAGGAGAAATCAGACGGATCAAGCTGCTACCTAGCTGCTTTACTTAGAAATGGGTGCAGTTCCGGTGTCATGGCGTCAGTGTAGCTAATCTTGGTGTCTACCTTCCTCAAACTTATAGACTGTATGGGCATTTACGCACATTCACTTCCACAAACTCTTTAGTAAAAGCAGATGCAGGAAACCAAACAAAAAATTGCAGCTAAACAAGTCAGGATGGCTCAATTAAACATAGAGCTCGGTGAAGAAAATGCAGCCCTGGCGAAAGTCATGGAGGAGCTCATGGCAAGACACTTCAGAGAAGCTGATGAGAAATCTGAAGCGCATGCCAACAGACTGGAGAAACGAATTGATACCATGAACCCAATTCTGTCACGACACACGGAAGAAATAAGAACTATCCGCTCTGAAACGGAGAACCACCTTTGATTTTGTTTCCTTCTATAGCGGCGAGATTACAGACTGACTAAAATGCGGGGGTGATGGGATGCGGTATTTAGGCTAAAGTGTGTTGACCAAAAGCCGAAACCCATCATTCTCAACTACGGAATCTTTTGCCATGAAAACACCAATGCACCTCGTAATTTCTCTTGCTCTTGCAATCGTTTGGACAAGAGGGGCTTCAAACCGGCTTGTCAGTGTGGGGTTGCCTGTTAATGTGTTTTTAACAAGGGGAGTTGATTGGAGCTTCTCATTGTGTTGTGGATTAAATGCTGCATCATGTTTGTTGGGCTATTTGTGTAGTTCCCTGTCTTCTCGTAATATTTGCATACAGTTTTTGTCTTTTACGTTATCTTCTCATCTCTTTCATTTTCTCTCTTGAGGAAGCCAAAATGTTTCCACACCTCTGAGTGTGTTGATACAGCATCTCAAGGCGACTAATGAATGGTTGGATCATAAAGTTGAGGTTGTGCCGAAGAAAATGATACCAGGCACTTATATGAGAAACATTTTTGATTTAGTCAGATATGAGTTATATTAGAGGCAAAACAGCCAAAATAGCTTCAGACCTCGGAGGGTTAAAACACTCACTACGGAAACAATCTAGTGTATGTGAGAGGTAAAACAGTGTGTGTGTGAGAGGTGTTTGTGTGTATGTGAGAGGTAAAACAATGTGTGTGTGTGTGTGTGTGAGTGTGAGAGAGGTAAAACAAACTGCTGTTTAAAAAAAGTACTGCGATTCAGTTTTTCAGAGTATCGAAGTGAACCTTGGCACCTTTGAATCAATTTTTAACTGCCTCACGATTAATCTTTACATCCCTATTATGCAGGTGTTGAAAACAGGAAGTTAGTTATTGTAGTTTGTCTGCAGGGGGAGCGTCAGCAGGGGGAGCTTCGGCAGTGACACACAGGTACTGTACATCACCTGTAGTAGTCCCTTTTTTAGTGCAGTCATACCTGTGTCAGGTGTGAACACGGACAGATTTCGATTGGCTGTGACTGACACTTGAAATCTGCTTTGATAGTTACTTTGTAGATTCAGTCCCAGTCCCATTGATTTACTAACGATGTAAATGATCATTCACTGAAACTGTCTACAGTTTTTAGACAATTAAATAAAACATATAAAACACAGAAGTTTATCGATCACTGAAGATCATTTCAAAAGGACGATGGTCAATAATAACTCAGTCTGAAAGTTCTTCTCTTGAATGACAGCTGAGGTTTCAACATGAAGACCATCTCTGCTGCTTCTGATCACACAAACACTTTTATTTCTTCTCATGAATCTTCAAATAATAAACTCAAACTTTCTTCAGGGAGAAATGGAGGGTGTGCCCTTTGATCACCTGTTGGTATGTTGTTGAACCAGCTGTGGTATTTCCTGGTCTCAGTAGGACTCTGACTCTGTCTTGTTCTGAAGCAGATCTGTTCTCTGTGTTGAAGGTAAGCGACACTTTTCACTTTTTTTTAAGACTCTCTGTTTAATTTAAGTGTCAAAAGAGCTGTAAGCTAACAGTTAGCCACCATGTTCATTAGCTGCTTATATTACAGTAGTATGACTCTCAGTTAGCATGCAGGCTATGCTAAACATGCAAACAGTACAGTTTTACACAGCAGAGGGAGGGTGTGGAGTCTGTCCTCATCAGTTAGGATTAAAATAATCACTGCATCAGCTCAACTGGTTTAATAACTTCTCTGAAACTGGACGGTTGCCAAGCAACACAAACACTCCTCTGCACCCACAGCAGAGATCAGCATAGACCAGAGACCTTATTATGCAGCTCTATAAGTAAAATTACTGCAGTGAAATCAGAGTGTGTGATTCTAGTAGATAGACAAACAAAGTAGTAGACAAACTCTGTCTGCTGTAGTTATTCTCTATGATCAGCTCTTATTGAATGTCTCCTTCCAATCAGCTGTGTTGGATTGATCTAACCAATGGGGATTCTTCAGTCTGTTGAGACTCGCTGCATTCGGTCATTTACTGTTAAATTTCATCTTCACTATCTGCTCCACCACTGCTCCTCTGTTTTCACTCTCAGACGGATAATTCCTTTGACAGGAATAAAGCATGTGACTCTTAGCAGAGCGATGAGAGTGAGTGCTGTCAGATGGGGCCCCCTTAGGACCTGATCACACAGACGCGTCACGCGAGATCACTTGATTTAATTGGCTACTTTGTGTGACATTGACGATCGCCGCGACTCTGCTTCTTTTTTTAAATGTTTAAACTTTTATGCGCACCCAAAAACTTCTAGAAAAATGTATCATGCAGGAGCAAAGAAGAGCGCCCAGCAATTGCGCTGGACCATAGGATAATCATGGTTTTGCTGGTGCCGCTTTCCCTTTTTGAAGGTGAACTAGGTAGATGTGATGTTTGTAGACTGACAGTGAGGTGATGATGATGATGATAATAATAATAATAATAATAACTTTATTTATATAGCACCTTTAAAAAACACAGGTTTACAAAGTGCTTTGACAAACAGCAAGCACAAAGCAAACTAAACCAAACACAGAAGAACATTAACAACAGTAAGAATATAACAGATGCAAAATACTAAGAAAAATTAAATACAATTCAACAGAAAAGAACCCAAAGTGCACGATACACAACCAGACACATATAACCCGACCATCACAAGAACCATCATAAGAACCCAGGCAACACAAGAACCCAACAACACGAGCTGAGACCAAGAGGACCAAAGATTTAAAAAGATGTAAGAAACTAAGAGATAAAAGCAAATAAAAAGCAATAAGAAGGTAAGAGTAGTAAAAGAAATAAAAACAAGTGGTTAAAGGATCAAAAAACCCAAAACTATAATATTAATAAAAATAAAAAGTAAATATAAATATGAAACATAAATAGACAAAGTAAGTAAGATAAGAAATTACCAAGTTAAAACACAAGAGGAGATTAAGATATGAGCATAAATACGAGATAAGACCATAAATAAAAGGACAGTAAGAAGTAAAAGAAGATAAAAATAGTAAAACCAGTAAGAGAAGACATTAAGAAGATGACATCACATAAAAGCAAGTCTGTAAAAGTATGTTTTAAGAAGGGATTTAAAAGAATTGAGGGAATCTGCAAGTCTTATCTCCTCAGGGAGGTCGTTCCAAAGTCGAGGGGCCCTGACTGAAAAGGCCCGGTCACCTTTAGTTTTAAGTCTCGACTTTGGAACGACCAGGAGGCCCTAACCTGAG